TATGTGTATATATATATATATATATATATATATATATATATATATGATCTAACATAAATAAATGTTGTATACATTTCACTCAACACAGAGATATCAATTTGATTAAAAAATAACAATCCGTTTAAATATCATTTTAAGCATCAGTCTGGTCTTTCCTCATCACTCTGTCCTTGTTGAGATTTTTGATCCCAGAAACATTTCAGATAGTCCATCACTGGAGACCAGTCCTCTTTAAATTTACCTATTGAACCAGATGTAATCAGATAAGAATTTATCATTTTACATCAGATTGTATATTTTCCAAATCCAATCCATTATATTTGGTGTTCCTTCCTCTTTCCATTTTTATGCATAAATTACCCTGGCAGCACTTACCATATAAAATAGTATTCTTCCATTTCTTCTTTCTATTTCTTTGCTGACTATTCCTAATAGAAATACTTTTGGTTTCTTTGGAATTTTGATTTACAATACTGTATTTCTGAAAAGGCCTTTTTGTATTTCTTTTCAGTACTGTTGGGCCTTTGAGCATGACCACCACATATGTATCATGGTATCTTTCTCCTCACCACATTTCCAACATCTGTCCTTATATATGGGTAACATTTGTGACATAAACAACTTGCAAAATTAAAATTATACCTTTAAATTACAATATCATACATAAAGTCTAAATTTATTTACATATATACAGTTTCATGTGATTACAGTGAAAATTTGGTAAAATATGCTTTTAAAGAAATTTTTCAAAGAATCTTTTAAAAAATAATTTTAAAGAAATTTTTCAAAGAATTTTTTAAAATAATTTTAAGGTCTTTTTCAAAGAATTTTTTAAAATATTTTTTTAAAAATTAAAATTTTAAGATATATTTTTTTTAAAAAACTGGGGGCTTTCTTCTCCCACTTAGCCTCACCCCACACCATCTCTTACCATTTTAAAGGAAGACAAGAGAGTGCCACAACCCATTTCTGCAAAAAAGGAAATGTTTGAGGAAAAGGGGTATCACCTGGTGTGGTCCACACACCCCGCACTTTCCTAGTGATGCCACTGTTCCCTTTACTTTTGTGGAACTGATCTGCTTGCTCATATTTTACATCAAGCAATTCTTCAACTTATAGAAGGGAATGTAGGAGGCTCTCTAGATCAGGGACCGGCAACCT